ATAGTAGATTTTTCTAAATGAAATAAGAGAGGAATAAACACCCTTGATTGAGCTCTGTGTCTCAAACTTTGAGAATGTTCCTTTAAATTATATAGCTGGGATCTGGTGGCCAAGATCATTATTTGTAAAATAATAGAGAAGAATTTTGAACACTAACATTTCTTGTGTTTGGTCAACAAAACCTGCCAGCACATCTTCTAAGAGCAGCTGTTATACTGCATGTAGGTTGTTGTCCTCCAGGTGAAATGACAGGGCTGGGTGACATTAAAAGATATGTGCAGTCCATTCATCTGAATATATATGATGAGAAGCAGTTTAGGAGGCGAGTACATAAATAGGGAAAATGTAGGCAGTGTTCACATTGACATGTCTTAGTATGTGGTGTGTAATTAAAAATCCTGCTTGATGCGGTTTCCAGTAAGTGAATCTTCTATAGGGTTTAATTGCTATTAAAATGTAAAACGCATACAAAATCTCCCTGACAAGTATCAGGGTGCTTTCACACTGCTCCATTGAAAAAAAAAAAGGTAAAACACATATGCATTTTTGATACGTTTTCTGCATTCCTCACCCGTCATGAACCTGCAAAACGTGTTAGCGAAGCAAAAATGCGTTTTTGGTGCGTTTGTTATAGAAATCATTGGGATATGCTAAACAAGAAAAATCAAACAAGTCGTACATCCGTACAAAAGAGCATTAATAGAAGAATCTACGCTGCTGGCTATTGTACTCAGGCAGCTGCAGTATCTGTGGCTGTCTGTATACCTGAACAATGACTGCATCTGATTGGATGGTCTGTGCTCAACTGACAATTTCATCCAGCTATTTTGATTTTCCATCAATTTTAGTGGAGGCTGGAGATTTCGTCAGGGCCACCTACGGTTCAAATTTTGACCGGTGTCTGTGATTTAAACTATTTTAGTCAGTGTGAGCCATGTGTGGCCAATCTAACAGTGGTTAAACTACAGCTGGGTACACACAGGCCGAATTTTGGCCAAAATCAGCCGGTTCAGCAGAAAATGGACAACTTTTGGTCCATGAGTACAGCTGCCTGCCCGACAGAAGCCGTTCTTACGAAAGCCAGTACCTGACTGGCATCTGAACAGCACTAGCAGCCAATGACTGTGAACACTGATCAGTGTATTCTGGTGGAGGCGGGAGTCCCCCTGTCAGAACACAGTGGGGGAGATCGGTGCTGCACTGACATCGCTTGTGTTAGTACAGTGAGCTCTCAGTTTCCTTTTTAGTTCAGCCCACTGGCTTGAAAAAAAAAAAAAAACACTTCATGTGTGTACCAGGATTTATTTAGCAATTGGTGCAAATGAGTCGCCTGGAGATGGTTGATTTCAATAAGTGTTCTCAAGAGATCATAGTCACAAGATAAAAATGTTATTATCTTTACAATGCAGATGTCCAGAAACAGCCAAAGTATTTTAAGCCCCATTAAATGACCACAAAATACTGATCGTATGTTCAGATGACAAATGACTGTCACCCAGCACTGCAAGGGTTATGTCTAGGGATCCTTGGAAAAGAATACCCGATTCCACACTCCAGCAGGCTCCTTCTGTCTGCGTGACCAGTCCAGCGCTGCTTCCTCTCTAAGCCACTTAATGCTGCAGTTGCATACTTACCCCCTCCACATGCAATGCAGGGTTAGTAGCTCTGCATTTTACGGGAGGACTCCTGAGGAATAGAGTTGCCACCTCATCCCTTTAAAACCGAACACATATTACTCAGGTTCTATGGCTGATTAAGGTGGTAATTAAAATCGCTTAGTGCCTTGTCTGCATTTCCCCAGAACCTGTGTAATTAATGTGTTTGGTTTTAGAGGGATGAGGTGGCAACCCTACTGGGGAACTGGCCCCAGACGAGAGCTTTGGAGAGAAGAGGAGAGCACCAGAGCTTGCTGCAACAAGCAGTAGGGTAAGTAATAGAGCCTCTTCCTTTGCCCCCTAGAAATAATGAGCATTTAACCCATGCAGTGCTGGGGGGGGGACCCCACTCCATGGGTATTTTTGTTTTCCAGCTCAGAGTTCAGCTTTAAAATGTATGTAAACCATAACAATCAACAGGCAGGGCTGACGCCATTTGTTTAGGAATTTAGGTTCTACTTAAGTCAGCCATAGATTGATTGAATCCCAGCTGGTTCAGCAGGGACCATCTGAGATTTGATCCATCTATGGGCAGGCTGATTGTGTCCAAGTCGATCAATGGATCAACCAGAATGTCGGATTTTTAGCATGCAACTATGCTGGTTGAAAAAGACTGCCATAGAGAATAATGTGATTTGCATCATTGTGCATTGAAGTCATCTGGCAAATGCAGGAGAAATCGCACTTGTGTGAACAGGGTCTTTAAGTTAAGTAATACACAGTGTCAAAGAGGACAGCAGGAGCACACTATTTCTGGTGCATCAGCAGTTATATTTCTCTATTTGCAGCTTGATTTGCTAAATATTTTTTTTCCTTTGACAAACACTTTAGAGTAAGCCTGTGAAGGGAATTAATCTCAGAATCTGCCACCTACAGTATAAAGTGTTTGCAGGTGATCTCCGTTCATTCTGCCTGAATATTGGTGTGCTCTGATATGTAAAAACTGGCATATGTGGTACCGGCTCAGGTCCATCACAGTGACGGATGGCCTCACTAGCCAGTAGTTAGGGCAGGCAGAGCAGGGAAGGGCTCCCTTTCCTTATCAGAGCATATAGGTAGCCTAAGCTTCTTCCTACAAGAAATGGGGCCTGACCTGGAGGTGTCCACTATTGACTGTAAGTGGCAGTTCCCAAAGTTGACAGTCTCCACAGATTTACTGTACACTGCTTCACATTGTCCTCTTCTGGGAGTCCTCATTGTTACAGAGCAACTTGGATCCAGCATCTGATTTCACAGGGTATCAGTTTAATTGGGGTCTGGTTGCAGGAATTTGTGTCCAGCAGAGAGGAAATAATTCAATCAAACTTCATTCACTCAGCTGATAAATATATCCCATTAGCCCGCTCCCCATCTGTCCCATCTTGCAGGAGGCGGCTGCGCTGGTCACACCACGGCTCGCCTTGTCATCTCTGTGCTGTAATTATTCAGTGTGAAATACGTTCCAATAGCAGGTACATCTCCCTGATATGTTACTGTCACATTGAGAACTGAGGGGTTGAGCATATGTTGCCTGAATATGACATTAAAGAAAAACTCCAAGAAATAGTTTTTTTTTTTTTCTTCAAAAAAGAAAGTTTTGCATTTTTTCCATCATTCAAGGCAGTCTGTCACAGACGGGAGTAGTCTGAGAAGCCTCAGATGGAAGCTGCTACAATTGGCCTGCCAAGCCTGCACAGTAGTTTGGAGCTGTGATCGTTAGCAAGTCATGATAAAGTGGGTCTCCGATCTCATGTACAGTATATAAAACCTGTATAAGATTCTAATAGTACAGCTGACTGCGTGCATTTATCTCTGTCCTTCGAACTCTAGTGTCTTAATAACAGTTTCCTGAGTCTGATGCTGATCAGCTGACTTCCGTACTCTTTCAGTCATTGACCCAGAACAAGAATGCAGTTTAGGAGTTTTGTCTTTTCCAATCTGAATGTTTGCTAGTGATTCAGAGCCTATTGAAGCAAGAGACAGCCTGGCAACAAGCATTTTCAGCAATGGCATCCTCCACTTTTCTCTCAGTACAGGTTTTCTTTTAAAGGGAACCCATCAAGACAGAATTATGGAGCTTCCATTGCAGACTTTTTTTCTGAAGCTGCATGATCCAGGGCTGTTATTCTTAAAGAAGAGAGTTGGAAATCAAAAAACATACATACTCACCTGTAGGTCTGCAGCATCAGTCAGATGCTGCAGCTGTCCTCAGCTAGCTCTAAGAAATCTGTCACGGCATAATTATGGGAGCTGATCATATGACTGCTGATTGCTCAGTTCTTAGTCTTCACTGAGCAGAGAGTGGTGACTGTCAATCACCACTCTGTGCTCTGGACCTCCAGCGCTCACTGGAGCACTGGGCTGTGGAGAGGGGTGGAGCAGCTGGTTCATATTCTCAGCAGAGGCTGATCCAGCTGCTGGTCAGGCATCTGGGTGGAACCTGACCTTAAAGTCGGGATCTTTCCACAACATGGACCAGATCTGTGATGTCAGCTGACAGCGGACTTTAGCTCGCGCTTGGCTGAATCTGTGTCACAGGAGTGCAGAAATAAGTGCGCTCCTGTGACCCAGAAAAGAAGTAAATCCAAAAGCGCTTTGGCCATTTTTCTCTTTTATCCTATGTATTAGTTCATCATTGCTTAAAAACAGCACGCACGTTTCTTACACCTAGGGGAGTATTTCTAACAAATTCACAAGGCTATTCATCCAGTGAAACTGCATGTAAATTTGTTCTATGCGAATGAAGGAACAAATTGAATGTTATTAAGCTATTTTCTCTCCAGGCCAAATGTTCTTCTTCATACGGAATAAAATGCTGCATTATGGCCACTAGATGGAGCTGGTGGTTGTATGAAATAATGTAAATACTTATTTACTATGATCATCAGCTCCATCTAGTGGCCATAATGCAGTATTGTTCAGATTCACTTTATTCTTTATGAAAAATAACATTTAAAGGGAGAATAGTTGTGCAAGTTTTTTTTTTTTTTTTTTTTTTTTTTAAATACGCCCTCTGATGCACACGTGTTTGTCTCAGGTTAGTGACTAACCAAGTAATGTGGTAAGGGTGAGGATGACAAGCCCTGGAACATGCATTTTAACAAACAAGTTAGTAGTGACAGCTCCCATAATTATGCTCTGTTAGGTTTCTTATTACATCTGTGTGAATTTACATCTGTGCTGGAAAGTTACAAGTGTGTGAAAATAAAATTTGAATCTGACGGGTTGCTGTGGTGCAGTACAGGCATTTTTTGCTTCAGACATCTTGTTGAATGAGACACAGAGTAGAAAAGATAGTGTTTTATCAACCTTTGGTTTCTGATTCAAAATGGTTGGGACATAATCCATAGAAAAGAATGCATACCAATGTTTCTTGTGCTGTGTGTATACAGTGAGTACAAAGGCCTGGTGAAGCACAGCGGAGGATGTCACTGCGGAGCCGTCCGATTCGAGGTTTGGGCGTCAGCTGACATTCACGTCTTTGACTGCAAGTAAGTTATTAAAGAGTAACAACACCAAATACATTCTTCTGTGACGGGAACTCCCCGGGTCTGCCTTCATGTCCCTTCACACTTTCCTGCCCTTTAAAAGCCAAATGATGCAATTCCTTATTACGGATCTTGCATAAACATGGTTCCAAATTACAATTTCACATCCACCATGGAAGCTGAATTGCTGTAATAAATCATGATAGAATATGAATGGAATGACAAGATTAGCCGCAGTTGTTGGAATATTATTTTCAAGAATGAACATTTCATTATTGCACATCATGGATATTAATCGTTGTTAAACGCTGATTTATTGGTTTTTAAAGAAAATTCGATATTGCTTTGTGAAGTGTAGTGAAATGAAAATAAATGTGGAGACAAATATAAGTAGTATAGTAGTATATTGATATGGATTGATGGTCTGGCCAGAGATATATTGCTGGAATTTAATTAGGGCAAGTCCATGCCCTTGAGGAGCTTGTAATCTAAGGTCCTTATCTCACATGCACACACATACTAGGGCCAAATCAGACAGGAGCTAGGATCAGCCTACCAGCATGTCTTTGGAGTGTAGGAAGAAATGGAGAATACAGAGGAAACCCAACAAGAAGAGGGAGAACATGCAAATTCCATGCAGATAGCATCCTGGACAAGATTTGAACTGAGAACCCTAGTGCTACAAGATAGAAGTGCTAACCAATAAGCCAGGGGGCTGCTCATAGATGTGTGTTTTACTCATTGATGCCTATGTTTATACTGCTTATGCAGCTCCCCTGGTCCAGGCAGTGATGAAGTGTAACAGTGGCAGGGTGAGAAGGGGAAGGTAGCATTTGTTTTCTGCCAGGGTCCTTTTTAGTCCACTGGGTGAGTCTTAGCATGCAATTTGCATGCCATACGACTAGCAAATCATATAGCAAGTCGCACCCAATTGTCCACAATTACAGCGGTCATATCGGTGCTGCTCCGACTTGGTCAGACCTGCGCAGATTTCTAAAGTAGTGCAAGTACTACTTTTGGTGAGATTTGCTTAGACCTCTGTGTCAGATGTTTTGCAAATTGCACCTCAAATCGACATGCCATCTGACTTTGAAATTGTGCAAATTACAATGAAGTCGCAAAATTTCAAAGTCAGGATTGGTGTGACCGGGGTGTTAAGTCTTGTGAGCTAGCATTATACTGCCACTCATAAGATATATTTGTGTATTTGGCCTGTTCTACTTGTTGAGATTTGCCATTGTAGCTGACCATCTTTGTGATATCAGTACTTCCACTAGTCAGGAATACTACTCTTCTACTTCATGGTTTAGGCAGGCCATTCATTAAGCAATTTTCTTTCCTGCAACCACGGTTTTAGGAAAGAAAATAGTTAAATCCCCCCATCAATACAGTCAGTCCCCCAGAGCTTTTGTATTCTGACAGCGGGAGGTTTCCCAGCTGTCAGAATACAAAGATCACTGCAAGCTGCTATAGCCACTGGCAGGGATCATATGAGCAAAACCCCGGCAGGCAGGTTGTACTGAAGTTGATTGATTTGACTAAAGTACAACCAGCCTACCCTTAGATGGATCGAAATTTGACTTGTCCCTGTTAACCCGGCCAAATTTCAATCCATCTATGGCTGGCTGTAGTGATAGGTGATGATGATGATTTCTTTGCAGTGGGAAGGCTGGAGACAGAAGGGTAACCTCATCTGCCTTACCTATCAAGGGTGTGTAAGTCACAAGACTGGCTGAATAGAATAACTATTCTTTTAAAAAAGAGAGGAAGGCGCCTCTAAGTGCAGTATTGACAATTTATTAATAAACAATAGATAAAATGCACTTACAAGATAAATGGTTAAAAAGACTCATCATGTGGTGTAATAAGATCCAGGTGGAACATCCCATCCAGCTGTCCAGCAGCAAACTCTGTCTATAGGATCAGGAAGTAGAGCCCAGGATGTGCCTGTGCATCAAAATGAGGCTTGGAGAGCAGAGTCGGATGTAGGAGGTGAAGGGGGCGGTAATGCATCTCAGAGCATGCTAAGTAGGCTCCTTCTACAGACAGAGGTCTGTAGAAGGAGCCTACTTAGCATGCTCCGAAATGCATTACCGCCCCCTTCACCTCCTACATCTTCTTCTGTAGTGGACGGAGATGAATATTGTAGCGCTAACTGATGGCTTTGTAGTGGAGGTCTCTATTATTAATGCCATTCTTATTTTGTTTGTTTCATTTGGTCTCATCCACATGGGTGTACAATATGCTGTGTTCAGATCTGTAATGTATTTAGATCTGATAGTATGTATGCAGTGCCCCCTTCACACAGCTCTCTTTTGGTCTGTAGTGTTCAGCTACGTAAACCAAAACAGGAAAATATGGGTCCACTCTCCGACTTTGACCATATTTATTTGCCATACACATGTAAATGTTTGTGTGAATGTTTACATGCTTACAGGGTAAATGGACATGGCCGTATGTGCTGCTGCCTATCGAACTCAGGGCCAGAATAAGATGTAAACAATGGGGTCGATTTACTAAAGGCAAATAGACTGTGCACTCTACAAGGGCAGTTTCTCCAGAGCTTAGTAAATGAGGTGACACTTCACTTTGCAAAGAATACCCAATCATATGCAAGGAGAATAAAACCGCATTTTGTCTTGCACATGATTGATGATTGAAGTCAGCAGAGATTCCCCTCATTTACTAAGATTCTTCCATCCACACATTCAATGTGGATGGAGGAATCCTCACCACTGAATCATTGTATTCTGATAGCAGGAAAACTTCCCCGCCATCAGAATACACAGGTCAGTGCTGCCAGCTATACAGCCTATAGCACCGATTGAGCAGAAATTTTTCCAACAGATTGGTAGATTGACTTCAGTTCAACCACAGTGGCCACACATAGATCAAAATTCAGCCAGTCCTTGCTGAACCGGCCAAATTTAGATCCATGTATTTCCAGCTTAAAGGATAAGTTCACCTTTTAGACAAAAATAATAAATGAACATTTTTTTTGCAAGTAACAAAGTGTGCATTTATTATTTTTGTCTACAGGAGCCTGGAAAGCATTGCACCAGTGATCTGTAGATTGCTGATGTCATGCTGGTCTCCTGCAGACCTGACAGAATATCTGCTTGCCGTATGGGATGTATGAGCAAGCAGATATTCTGACAGGTAGCTTCAATGAACTACCACAGCACTCCACAGCACCATGGTAGTTCACTGAAAACTACAAGCCGACAGCCGCTAACGCTGCCGGGACTTGCAGTTCATTCATTCACGGACCTCCATGAATGAATGAAGCGGTCGTGTGGGCGGAACCCCGCATGGCCACACTGTTTTTAAATTTGACAGCACGGGGGAAACCTCTCCCCTTATTATCTGTCAGAAGGAGAGGGGGCAGCTGGCTGCAGCTAAGACTATGGGAACATGTTACATGTTCCATCCTAAAAACAGGTGAACATGTAACATGTTCCCAAAGGTGAACTTATCCTTTAAGGCCTAGTTTAAATTAGCAGATGGGAGGGGGGGGCAGGACCACTCACCAAATGCAACATATTCTCCTGAATGGAGCCGCACAGGAGGTGACATCCTCACCTGTCAAGCACCCTCTGAGAAGCAATCCACCACAGAGCTCTCTACAGAGGGTACCGCAAGTGAAAACAAGCCCTATGTCAAGCAAAAAACATTTTTTTTTTTTCCCCCCTAGTTTTAGATAGTGGTGAAGGATTAGAACCCTTGCTGGGTTTTCACACCTATATTGGGTATTTTTGGAGAGATTGACCCTCATTTCCCTCCTGCTGACAAGTTTCACTAGACAGGAAGTGAGGGAATATCTGCAATGGGGACACAGGAATAAAAAGTCTGACGGGTTTTAACCTCCCCATGTTCTACTGAAGAAAAGCTTTTTAATTTCTGTATGTTGGAGATGGAGAGTTTTCCTCACTTCCTGTCTAGCAAAACGCTGTCAGCAGGACAAGGGGTGAGGGAGATCGATCTCCATAGTGGAGTACAGGACAGCAGTAATAACCTGGTGGGGGGTTCCAACCTTTCCCCACTCTATCCAACACTAAGGAAAAAAGTTTGTGCTTGACATACACTTGAAGATCGTATTTTTCCATGATTAAATTATTTTATACAGTAATCCCATATGACTGACAAAATATTAATTCAAAACATTTGTAATTAAAAATTATTCACGATTGTAAGATTAACCTCCATACACACAAATGCCAGTAATAGAAACTCACCGCCTGTCATAGATGGGGACATACAAATTAAAACGTGTTACATTCTGATTGGATCCAATAGAAAATTCTCCAGCCACCAAACTGCTGTTCTTTACATACTGTACAGTATGATTGTGTATTGACAATTGTACTGCATTAAAGCCCAACTCTGGGCAAACAAAAAATGATTCCTTGCGGTTGGGCTGTCCCCCACTGCAAGGGTTAGTTGTGTGTGTATGCCCAGGGAAAAAAAAAAGATTTACCTACCCAGTCTTCCGCTCTACTGCCCCCCAGAGCATCCGTACCCCCACACCCCACCAGTGTACAGTCCTGATGTCAAGACCAGAGCAGGATCCATAGCACTGCACTGGACATGAGGACACAGAGGGACAGTCCACTGCTGGATTGTGGGGGAGCACTGGCTGCCGGGGAAGCAGAGGATCAAGTAAGTAAAAGTGTTTCTTCTCCTTCTTAGACCAAACACGCTATTGTCCCCCCTTGCAGTGCAGGAGCAGTCCAACTGCAAGGGTTAATTTTTTTTCATTTGCTCGGAGTTGGACTTTAAGAATGCATCCACAAACTTAGATCTTTGTAGTTTTACAGTTACAGATACAGTACATAAATATAAAAAAAAATGGAAAGTTTTCTATTTTTTGGTCAACTATTTTTTGTTTCAGTTGCAGCATATGTGTAAAGAAGCAAAACAGGCATTTCATCGTACCTGCATCACGTTTTACGTTGCTGAAGGTGAGTGTTCATGCTTTGCCTAAATCTGACTTCCATACATGTGATGCCTTCTTTAAACATGGAGAATAGTCAGGGATAACTCCCAGCCACTTGTCAGGTGGAGACCTGTCAGAGAGTGAATGTTTAAACTATATTGGCTCCAGTGAGTTCATGCTATAATAAACAAGGGTACATTTCACTACTTGTGTTTAAGGTTTACTGTTCCCACTGAAAGCCTTAGGGCTTGTTTACAGTTGTGGTTAGGGGGTGGTAAAACCAGGTGGTTTGATCTGGGTTTTTACCATCCCTTCCCTAAGCTGCAAAGGCAGCCAGACGGGTGAACACATGCCACAGCTGTAATGCTTTGCTTCACAGAAAAAATGATCTCCCTTGTCACATTTGGCAGGCGGCGCCACCTCTGAACACAACCCATTGAAGTGAAAAGGGTTGTGGTGCAGCAGCATGTAATGCAGGCGGTTGCAGCACAGTGGTGCAGCATTTACACAGTTATAAGAGGCTGTGATGTGGCGACATATCGCCTTCTCACTACCTGTCAAACGCCTCTGAAAAGCGATCCACCGTGGGTTGCTTTCCAATGGGGTGGCAAGCTCTTTTACCTTTATACTGGTGGCAACACTGCTAAGGAAAACCTCACCTTACACATTCAAGCATGGGCTCTCTATGAGCATTGCTCTGTGCTGATACAGAGGTCCATGCTGGGCAAGGAGGTTACACAGCCAAGCTGATGGGTGCATTTCATAGTTTTGGGATTCTCAAAGGCAGATTGCACTGCGAGAGTAAGCTAGAGTGGCATTCTAGTGTTTTATTTTAGTTTTGAGCAGAAAGGGTTAAAATTCCTGTCAGGTCTTTACAGAGTCCCCACTGGGGAAGCTTCTCTTTACTTCCTGTCCTGGTGACTACACAAGAAGTTAGCAGAATCTCACTAACAAGTACACTGAAAGATAAAACAACCAGATAACAATTATATCTCTGCTCTGTGTTCTTGGAGGGATGTGTCTTCCAGTCATCATGGTGGAAATTAGTGGAATCTCCTCAATGAAGACACCGACAGGATTCAAACCTGTTTTACACACACATGAAAAATGTCCAGAGTTCTACTTTATGGTCCAGTTACATTCTATTAATGTTTATGTAAAAGCCAAGTAATGAACTTCTCCCTTTTGGTCTGTTAAATAGACTGCTGGAAACCTTTTGTTAAATCTGTTTGATAAGTGAACAAAAAAAACATTGATCTTGTCATTAATTCAGGGCTGTCCTATGTCTTCTGCACATTCCCGGTGTTAACTCAAGAAGTCTAATTAGTCCTTCCAGTTCTTAGCTTGGATTACAGAACTATTAGCGTCTATGTTGTGGAGATGAGGACAATGCAAGGGTTTCAGTAGTTGGCAACTGGGCAGGGCTGACACTCAGTCATCCCCCAAAAAATTAAAAGTCAGCAGCTATACCTCCTGTAGCTACTGACTTTTGAGAAAAGAACACTAACCTGTCTAGGGATCCAGTGCTGGCCTCACCCACTCTAGTTCTTTGCTAGTCTTCGGATCCGTTGCTCCGCCATGCTAACTGTGGAAACCAGCTGTAACTCCTTGTGGCTTCACAGCCGGCTCCCCACTGCACAAGCGCGAGTTGTGCTTCACCCCGAATAGTCCCATAGCCTCCTGGGACCTGACATGTCCCAAGAGACTGTAGATGAGGAAGGGGGAATTGAACTTCCATGCTTAGGCTCAGACCCACTCAAAAAAAGTGACCAAAAGGGGGAGGGGCAGTAGGCAGAAAAGCAGAACTTCCCTTTTTAGAGGTGAAGGTCTACTTTAAGCTGACACTAAACTGGTTTTTAAAAAAAATTCTATTCAAGAATGTATTCTTAACTCAAAGAATGACCTTCTGTTGCTCTGTCTCCTCCAAATTCCTTTTTTTTTTTTCTTTTCTGCTGTGATCTTTCTGCTAGAGGGTGGCTCTGTTCATTTTCCATGGTCCTTGTCCATTCTCTCTTGCTTGACCCCCGACATGGACTATGGGACGTGTTCTTTTTTTTTTTTTTTTTTTTTTTGTTTCAGACCGCTGGAGGGTAAAAAAAAAAAAAAAAAAAACCTACCAGTCAATGGCTATCTTCACTATTGTTCAAATGTACCACTAAAGCCTAGTACACATGATCAGAAGATCCTAGGGAAAATACTGCTTTTCAAAGCCATTGTATGATAATCTGATTGTCAGTACACAGCTTTCGTTATTATTCAAAGGGACAAGCAGGAAAGCAGGAGTTGCTCACCACCAGTTGCCACACCCAACCTCTACCTTGCCCCACCCTTATTTCCACCCCTAAACACACCCTTGTAAATTATCTCATGAAATGACACTGTTAAATGTTACCCACATTACATCAGTGTCCCCAGAGTCCCCCCCACATTACATCAGGGCCTCCATTGTCCCCCCTAAACACTCCATCATACTTAGATCATGCACCTCATACAACTTTAATCCCCCATAAATTTTCACTCACCAAACCATAACTCTACCAAGGATATCCTACCTTCTATCCAACCCAACAGTACTTCAAATGCTCCATACTCCACCACCCATAATAACCACATAATCCTGAACCTGACCAAACCAGCCATACATGTATGTTTACACACAGACACAGGTACATACACAGACACATGTATACACACACACACAGAAACATGTACACATATGCACAGAGACACATGTGTACACACACACAGATACATGTATATACACACACAGAGGCACATACACACAGACACAAGTACATACACACACAGATGCACATGTACAAAGCCCTATAAAAAGGTGCAGTACTTACCTTCACTCACAGAGCCAGGTACTGCACTCTAGGGGGAGGCAGAGAGCACACACTCCTTCCTTTGCTCAGCTATTGAAAGTCTGAAGGCAAGTGACAGTCGGCCCTGAGCTCCGAGCCTGCTCAGCAAGACTGCCCTGGGGGACACTCGCCCCCACCATAATTTCCACTCGCCAATGCAAGCAGGTGAGTGTAAATTTTGAGGCCTGCAAATACATTACATCACCATCAAATTTTTATTCTATCGTACAAGAATTTTCATAACTTTAGTAACTTCACTTTCAATATGCATGCAAAAATAACAGACTATCATTAGTACAATATTCTCATCCAATGTATGGTGCTTAACTCTTCTAGTCAAATATTCAAAATTTTTTTTTCACTTCGGATCAAATGTTAGGGAATGTTACATTAGCCCTGTGAAAAGCACGATATAAAAACTGACATATCACACACATTAGAAACATTATGGGTATTTGTGACTTTGGTAACAATGCTAGGACATCACAAAAGTTTTAAAAATAGACCCCTAATTTTTTTTTTTCTGTGTATTTTTTTTTTTTTTTTTTTTTTTTTTAAACACTCAAAAATGTAAATCAAAGCTGAGACATTCACATGACAATTTTTATAAATAGACCCATACCATTTTTCCATGTATTTTTAAAACACTCAATGTAAATCAATAAAAAACATTGTGTATGCTAAATTTAAAAAAAGGCAAAATCGCTAAGGTGATGACGATGATTAGAATTTGAAAAATAAACGTAATTAACACCATTTTTCCATTTTTTTCACTTTACAAGTATTTAGTAATAAGGCAGTGTGGTAACTTTATGGTTTACAAAGTTAAGCCGGCTATAGACTGTTCAAATCCATTAATGGACAGGCTGAATGTACCCAAGTTGATTGATCGATCGATCAACTTGGGTACAACCAGCCTGCTGGATTTTACATGTGATTATTGCTAGCGGCTGTTTAAGTCGCTAGCAATAATCACTGTGTTCCCTGGTGGGGACTGCTCCCTCGCTGGGAGAACACAATGGCCCTGCGGGAGGGATTCCCCCATCTATACTGACTGTGATGGGGGGAATCAAACAATTTTCTTTCCTACAACCCACCAAACTGGCTGTTTGGCTGCTACACATCATTCAAGCAAAAGCCACATTGATCAGCTTACATGTCAGGAAATAATTTATAGCCTTTTCAGTAATATTTTCTTTGTTAATTTTGTGCAGCACTCAAAAATAATAAAAGAGGTACATGACCTATGAGATTTTACATGTTCCTCTTGAACCACTTGATGGAGCTCTATGCAAGATCTTTTCCTGTGTCAATTCTCTATGCAAGATCTTTTCCTGTGTCAATTCTCTATATTTGAAGCATTTTTTTTGATAAAGCTTTTTAAACATCATAATGTGAATGCAATAATTTCAGCTTACTAGCTTAGATGCAACCCCTACTCATTCACCAAAAAGTGTAAAATATTTTCTTTTTTCGGGGCGGCAGTGGCAGCAAACGTGATAATTGTAGAAGGAGCTACATCGAGGAACATGTTTACCAGACCCTTATCCAAGCATTCTGGATATAGCAGTGATCCAGGGGGAAGCTGCAGTGTGGGGGACACAGAGGCTTGATTGTTAACCCCTCAAAGTGGTTACTAAGCATGATTGGCTTGTGATAACCCTTTTAGTGCCACATCTGTAGTTGTGTTACAGCGTTTCAGTAAAAGAATGAAAACAAACCCACGGCCATCATGCTGATCTTCCTATATAGCATTCTAAGGGAACACTTGATGTCTCTATAGAGAGCACCTGACATTAATATCACTCATGGCTTATCAGCCTTCTTGTGTAAATATCAAATAGCAAAAAAAAAATGTTTAAAGAAAATTAAAAATGTTCAAAAATACTATAACAAAATTAAAGGCCCCTACTCTCTACACACAAATATACATAAATTCCGATGACATATTACACATTCCCACACATGCCAGATGTAGAGGATTAATTTTAGGGCTATTTCAGTTTTTTAGCCTAGAAATATATTAAATCAACAAAGTCTTATCTTTATTTAACCTGCTGGCAGTGGTCATCCTGTACATTTAAGTCAGTCATACATTATTATACAGTATTTATAAAGCACCAATGGTTCGCTCAGCGCTGTACATTACAAAGGGGGACAGAACATGTGACAGAACAATACCAATACAATACAATGCAAAACTTGAGGGCCCTGCTCTTTCGAGCTTACAATCTAGGAGGGAGGGGATGGTGGCACAGGAGGAGATAGCTGTGGGGGATGGAGTGGTAGGAAGAGTGGAGGAGGTCGGCAAGTTAGCAGGGGGTGGGGTAGGCTTCCCTGAAGAGATGGGCTTTCAGGGTGTGCCTAAAGGAGAGGAGAGTAGGTGATAATCTGATGGGTTGGGGCAGGGAGTTCCAGAGGATGGGTGACACCCTGGAGAAGTCCTGGATCAAAATTTGGCCAGTTCAGCAGGGAATGGACAAATTTCAATCCACCTATGGGCAGGCTGATTGTTCTCAAGTCTATCCATCAGCCTGTCAGATTTTTTTATATGCAATAACTGCCATCTGCTATAGCTGCTAGCAGTAATCGTCCTTCAAGTGGTGAAAGGAAAGTTAGTAGAATCATCAATGTGCTGTCGAAGGCTGGCCATACAATATACAATTTTCTTGTACAATTTTCCTTTAGATCTACCAAAACCATATAATATAAGGTCAACACTTTCAATTTGGCAGCCAGACCCTTTTATTACATATTGGAAGGTAAATCTAAAGGAAATTAGCAAGTAAATTGTATAATGTATGGCCAGTTTTACATTTTCTCAGGCCAGTTGATTCATTCATCCATTGTACCGGAAAATGCTTAATCTCTAGAAATCTAAAATATACACACTTGTTTGTCGACCTTACAGCACATACTGTATCAAAATCTAAAAACATTTGTGGGATCCTTGTGTTCAGGATAAAGAAGAGAAAATAATTTTTTGTAAATAGTTTGAATAGTATTAATTACAAAGTGCTTTATAAAGTAAACAAATTAAAACTGTATTTTTTCACATTTTTGTCCCATTTCCCTGCTTGTCATAGTATATATTCAGGGGAATTTGAAATACACATTACAAAATGAAGGTCCCTCATGAGTGTTCTAAATACATGGTGTGAAAATGATTTGGTTATGCAAATCAGTTAAAAATGTATTGTTAAATAAATTGTTGTATACAAATATTGTGCAAAATGTGGCCAGGTCACAGAGGTTTTTAGTCTTGCTAGAATAGGGAAGGGACAGAAAATCTCCCCCCCCCCCCCCTTTCCCAGGGCTGCTAGAGTGATTACCCCCACCCAACCGAGTGTATCTATACCCAAACCTTTTTTTTTTTTTACAGTCTTGTACAAAATGGGGAAGGGCCGGAACATCCTGGGCTAGGTCACAAAGGTTTTATTTATGATTGAACTGAAAAGGTTAAGATGTGTACCATACACTGCCTAGCATGAAAGAACCATTGTTTTTATTAATTGACACATTTATTAAGATGTGTGTCTGAGTGTTTGTTTCTGCAAATAGTGTGATTCGTGTAACCTTTGTGTATGCAGGGTGCTAATAATCTCACCACTTACACCTTCAACACCAAAAAAGCACAACATACATTCTGCAAAACGTGCGGAGTCCAGAGCTTCTACACGCCTCGCTCCAACCCTGATGGCTATGGTAAGTAACAAGTTGAAACTACAGGTACTCATATTGCACTGCTATATAAAGGAATAGATGATATTTAAAGTATAACTGAAGGGTGGAAAGGGATTAGAACACCTGTCAAGTTTTTACTGCTGTCTGTGCCCGTTATCAAAATAAAAGGAAAGTCTTCAATTTTGGGTTGACACCACAACAGTAATAGAGGGAAAATCTTCCAATGGGGACACCCAGGGATTCTCTCACTTTGGAGGGATTTCCTCTCACTTCCTGTTTTGGCTATGGGAAAGGAAGTGAAGGGAAATCTCCTCAATGGGACACAGATGGCAAAAAAAAATTGAGAGGAGATATAACTCTCCCTTACTCTATCCAAATTTAAGAAAAAAGCTTTGCTTTTAGTTCTGCTTTAGAAAACAGAGTGTATCCGTCCTCCATGGAGTTTACAAACAGATAAAATTCCATTTTCTATTTCCCCATACACTATACCCTGAACAGAATGTCAACGCTATATGCTTGTAATGCACAGCCAGTTGTACAGAGTCTGCTATATGAAGGCTGTGCAAAGTTTCTGTGTGAACTGTGCAGTGATGCCTAAAGATGATCATACACTGTAGAATTTCATTGTAAGAGTGTTTCATTTTCTAATTGTTTGTTGGGTCAGATCAGCATTCGTTTTTTACTGCAGTGACAAGAAAACTTGAAGGAGCAGGAGGTAAACTTTTCTATTCCTTTCTCTGCACTGCTACTCCTATTGACTTTTAGTTTCCGCTACCTAGGTTTCAGCTTCATATAGTCAAGGGGCAGCAATGGCTATTTTGTGGTTCTTTGAAGTGCCTACAACAGTAAAGTATTCACCACAGCCTATTCAGCTTCCAGCAGAGTTAGCTGGTGGGTCACAGACCACAAAGTGCACAATGCAAGACACCAGAGCAAAGGATTTTTGAACCCTGGGCATGAAAGTGTTTTTTATACTTCATTCTCACCTTAAATCAACTGAAACCAATTTAAGGAACTTCTGTTTAGCTTGTATTGTGATCAGACTACTCTTCCTTTTAGGAATAGCAGCACATTGTCTGGATGAAGGGACAGTCCGTAGCATCCATGTGGAACAGATCAATGGGAAGGAGTGGGAGAAGGCTATGAAAGAACACAAGACCATTCGTAGCATGTCAAAGTCCTGAGAATGTTCTGTACATCTGTTTTCTCTCTGTATGTTTCTGCGTTTCCGTCCATTACTAGTTTTATACACTTCTGCCTTCGTGGCATGTCTCCTTCAATTAAGTGAAATAAATCTTTTCTATACACTCATTAATACCTTTTTATCGTCTCAATGTGTAACTGTGCTGGCTCCTTACCATATGGCACATTCAACACGGATTCACAAATCAGATATCTCAACACATTACTTTCTACATTTTTTTTTTTTTTTTCTTAAATAAGAGAATGAAGGAAGTTGTTGACAACACAAGCTTTCAGACACCCAGTATGGCACTTCTAATAAACTGTATAGCTGTGGAACACAATTCACATCCTTTGTACAAGAAAAAGTGTACATTTATATTAAAAAAAAAACAGCACTGCAGTAGACAATCAATGTATAAGTGCCCTTTGTTAAAAGAAAATGTTCCAGATGCCAAGTCTGTAAGAAGCTGGTGCAGAGTTTACATCCTATGCTACTCCTTGTGGCATCAGTGGGTGTAGCCTAGTTAAGCTGGCCATACACTGAGCAAATATCAGCCGCTTCCTGATGAATCGGTCAAAATTTGTTTTGTGGGGGCCCTGCCAGCACCCTCCTACCAGACATCCATTGATTCCGAAATCGAAGCCACTGGGTAACAACCATCAGCTGTCAGAACAGCTGTATTTATACTGAGATTAAATTACACACAGGTGGACTCTATTTACTAATTAGTTGACTTCTGAAGGCAATTGGTTCCACTAGATGGTTCCAGTGCCTTGAAAAAGTATTCATACCCCTTGAAATGTTTCCAGATTTTGTCATGTTACAACCAAAAAAGTAAATGTATTTTATTGGGATTTTATGTGATAAACCAACACAATGTGGCACATAATTGAAAGGAAAATAAATTTCAAATTTTTTTTACAAATATCTGAAATGTGTGGCGTGCATTTGTATTCAGCCCCCTTTACTCTGATACTCTTAATTAAAATCTAGTGGAACCAATTGCCTTCAGAAGTCAACTAATTAGTAAATAGAGTCCACCTGAGTGTAATTTAATCTCAGTATAAATACAGCTGTTCTGTGAAGCCCTCAGAGGTTTGTTAGAGAGCATTAGTGAGTAAACAGCATCATGAAGGCTAAGGAACACACCAGTCAGATCAGGGAAAAAGTTGTGGAGAAGTTTAATGTAGGGTTAGGTTATGAAAAAAAATATCTCAAGCTTTGAACATCTCACGAAGCACTGTTCAATCCATCATCCAGAAATTGAAAGAGTATGGCACAACTGCAAACCTATAGAGGAAGATGAAAGAGAGCGCACAAACCTTGCGCATTACCTCAATAAATAGTGACTACCGTATTTTTCGCTCCATAAGACGCACTTTTTTCCCCCCAAAAAAGGGGGGAAAATGTCAGTGCGTCTTATGGAGCGGCCGGTTCGGTATTTCCACTGCCGCCGTGTCAGAATACCGGGCCGGCCGCTCAGCTCTACAACGGGACCTTATAGAGATGACTGCTGACCTTAGGGGAGGGAGGGGGAGCGGGTACCTGAATTTGACAGATACCCGCTCCCACTTCCGTGGAGTTGTTCTTTCATCTTACCCGTTCCTCTATCCAGCGGCGCGGTCTTCCCAGCTTCTGTAGTGTGGGCATGACAGCCGGGTGTCAAGTGCGCATGCGCAAGAAGCTGTGCTTTTTGTGAATGGTAAGGCGGCACCTGGGACACATGACAGATCCCAGAAGCCGCCGGACCAATCGCAAAGCGCAAGTGCTTCTCGCTCATGCGCACTGGGCACCCGGCTGTCATGCCGAGCGCCATTACAGAAGCCGGGAAGACAGCGCGCGGCTGGATAGAGGAACAGGTAAGATCAAAGAACAACTCTGCAGAAGTAAGAGCGGGTATCTTGTCAAATTCAGGTACCCACTCCCCCCCTCCCCAAAGGTCAGCAGTCATCCCCTGTACTATCCAAAGTCTCTGGTTATCCCTGTACTGTCCGCAGTCTCTGGTCATCTCCTGTACTATGTCCGCAGTCTCTAGTCATCCCTGTGCTGTCCGCAGTCTCTGGTCATCCCTGTGCTGTCCGCAGTCTCTGGTCATCTCCTGTACTGTCCGCAGTCTCTGGTCATCCCTGTGCTGTCCGCAGTCTCTGGTCATCTCCTGTACTGTGTCCACAGTCTCTGGTCATCTCCTGTACTGTGTCCGCAGTCTCTGGTCATCTCCTGTACTATCCGCAGTCTCTGGTCATCCCCTGTACTATCCGCAGTCTCTGGTCATCTCCTGTACTATGTCCGCAGTCTCTGGTCATCTCCTGTACTATGTCCGCAGTCTCTGGTCATCCCTGTGCTGTCCGCAGTCTCTGGTCATCCCTGTGCTGTCCGCAGTCTCTGGTCATCCCTGTGCTGTGTCTGCAGTCTCTGGTCATCCCTGTGCTGTGTCTGCAGTCTCTGGTCATCTCCTGTACTATCCGCAGTCTCTGGTCATCTTCTTTACTATGTCCGCAGTCTCTGGTCATCCCTGTGCTGTCCGCAGTCTCTGGTCATCTCCTGTACTATGTCCGCAGTCTCTGGTCATCCCTGTGCTGTCCGCAGTCTCTGGTCATCCCTGTGCTGTCCGCAGTCTCTGGTCATCCCTGTGCTGTCCCCACAGTCTCTGGTCATCCCTGTGCTGTCCCCACAGTCTCTGGTCATCCCTGTGCTGTCCCCGCAGTCTCTGGTCATCCCTGTACTGTGTCCGCAGTCTCTGGTCATCCCTGTACTGTGTCCGCAGTCTCTGGTCATCCCTGTACTGTGTCCGCAGTCTCTGGTCATCCCTGTACTGTGTCCACAGTCTCTGGTCATCCCCTGTACTACGTCCGCAGTCTCTGGTCATCCCCTGTACTACGTCCGCAGTCTCTGGTCATCCCTGTACTACGTCCGCAGTCTCTGGTCATCTCCTGTACTATGTCCGCAGTCTCTGGTCATCCCCTATACAATGTCTGCAGTCCATTAGTTCAGAATTTTTTTTTCCTGTTTTCTGCCTCTAAAATCTAGGTGCGTCTTATGGTCAGGTGCGTCTTATGGAGCGAAAAATACGGTAATTTTATTAATAAGGAAATATATAATCATTTTGTGAGTATAACAAGCATAAGTAACCATAATCCAAACAGGGTTACAGGTAAATCAAACGGGGGGGTTATGAAGGCTGACGTGTTTCGAAGGGTGCTCCCTTCTTCATCAGAGCTGGGTTTGGCAGATAAAAACTTCAGTATGGCAGAGTTCCCATGGCAAGGAGATATTCAGCCACTGAGTGTCAGTATTACAGCAGTTCAGCCTGTTTAGTGTCACTAAACAGGCTGAACTGCTGTAATACTGACACTCAGTGGCTGAATATCTCCTTGCCATGGGAACTCTGCCATACTGAAGTTTTTATCTGCCAAACCCAGCTCTGATGAAGAAGGGAGCACCCTTTGAAACGCGTTAGCCTTCATACCCCCCCGTTTGATTTACCTGTAACCCTGTTTGGATTATGGTTTTATGGTTACTTATGCCTGTTATACAATCATTTTGTGAGTATATTTCCTTATTAATAAAATTAGTCACTATTTATTGAGGTAATGCGCAAGGTTTGTGCGCTCTTTCTTTCATCTTCCTCTACAGTTTTATTAAGCTTCATGATAGAGCTGCACAACCTCTGATCACCAGTGGATGAATGCACAACACGCTGCTTGTCACTAACGCCTGTTTGATCTGAGTCCTTGAGCGCAGGAGATAATGGATCTTTGGTGACAACTGCAAACCTACCAAGACATGGCCGTCCACCTAAACTGACAAGCCAGGCAAGGAGAGCATTAATCAGAGAAGCAGTAAAGAGGACCATGGTAACTGGAGGAACTGCAGAGATCCACAGCTCAGGTGGGAGAATCTGTCCACAGGACAACTATTAGTCGTGCACTCCACAAATCTGGTTAGACTTGATGGGAGGATGGATAGAGCCAAATACAGGGCAATCTTAGAAAAAAAAACCCATTAGAGTCTGCAAAAGACTTGAGACTGGGGCGGAGGTTCACCTTCCAGCAGGACAACGACCCTAAACATACAGCCAGAGCTACAATGCAATGGTTTAGATCAAAGCATATTCATGTGTTAGAATGGCCCAGTCAAAGTCCACACCTAAATCCACTTGACAATCTGAGGCAAGACTTGAAAATTGCAGTTCACAGATGCTCTCCATCCAATCTGACAGAGCTTGAGCTATATGGCAAAGAATGGGCAAAAATTTCCCTCTCTAGATGTGCAAAGCTGATAGAGACATCCCCAAAAAGACTTGCAGCTGTAATTGCAGCGAAAGGTGGTTCTACAAAGTATTGACTCGGGGAGGCTAAATACAACGCCACACTTTTCAGATATTTATTTGTAAAAAAATTTTGAACACCATTTATCATTTTCCTTCCACTTCACAATTATGTGCCACAATAAAATACATTTGCGTTTTTGGATGTAACAAAATGTGGAAAATTTCAACGGGGTATGAATACTTTTTCAAGGCACTGTACAATAACTGCCAATACAGACTTGCCTATCTGTGCTGCATAGTGTGGATTTGAAGAATGTTAGATTTTTTCATTTTGCCTAAAGGCCAACTTTTGTATAAAGCACTTGTGTCAAACACAAGACCCACGGGTCTAATCCAGCCTGCCGGGCCATTTTATGTGGTCCTTGCACCTAGGGCTTTTTTTCAGCCATGATGTGGCGGAACAGTCACTTGCAAACACAGAAGCCTTCTGTATTTACAAGGATAGTTTTCCTCTCAGCAGCCTGCAGTCAAGAGGGCTGAGGAGGGAGATGTGTGCAGAGGTGAGGGATGGGGAGAGTGGTGCAGAGGTCAGAGCCGAGGAAGAGAGGTGAAAGTGAGATGTGGACATCCTGTGAAAAAGAGCTGAACTCTCCACTTTGTGCATAGCACACCCCTAAACCCTGCACTCTGTATGTAGCGCAATCCTCAATCCCACACTCTGAACATAG